AAAAATGCAAAAGTCATTTGTGCACATCTTGAAAACATAAAATAAATATTTATTTACAAAATTATTTTATTATGGGCCGCTCATGGTTGGCAAATTTGTTTTCATTCAGTTCCAGCGTACTTGGGACATCTGATAGAGAAATGGATTGGGACGTTCCTTGAAACAACGTCACAAAAACATCAACCACAGTAACGTCACAAAACATCAACCACAGTAACGTCACAAAACAAACAGTAACGTCACAAAACATCACCATAGTAACGTCACAAAACATCAACCACAGTAACGTCACAAAACATCAACCACAGTAACGTCACAAAAACATCAACCACAGTAACGTCACAAAACATCAACCTCAGTAACGTCACAAAACATCAACCACAGTAACGTCACAAAACATCAACCACAGTAACGTCACAAAAACATCAACCACAGTAACGTCACAAAACATCAATCACAGTAACGTCACAAAAACATCAATCACAGTAACGGCACAAAACCATCAATCACAGTAGCGTCACAAAAACATCAATCACAGTAACGTCACAAAAACATCAATCACAGTAACGTCACAAAAACATCGACCACAAACACTGTGTCTCACAAGAAAGTGATTAGAAAGAGAGAGGCTCAGTGTATTGTTGGTACTATCTTAGTTTGGCTAAGGGTATGGTTATATCAAAGGAAATAAAGAGTTAATATTAACTGAGTTAGTCAGAGTGGGAACTGTTGACAGTGGAGGGCCCCAGACGTGTGTCTCGGGACCTCTCTTGTTGTTCTTGTTGTTGAGTTAGGGGCGACGACGATCGTGGAATCGGATGCGCCACCGCGTACCCGTGAAGGGTGAATCGCGAAGGCAGGAAAGGCGAATTGCCAAGCCAAAACGTGAAACGAGTGACGCCAAGCACTAGAAACTAATACGCCACACGGCAAAGCAACGCACAAAGGGAGAGGCAGAAGCACATAATAGAACAGGGCAAACAAACAGCCAGAAGGGCACACAGCATGTCATAGAGCAAAAACACAGGAAATCAGAGCACATACTTGCCCGGGAACCGTACATTAATCGCCTCCCAGAACACCCATTGCAAAGGGTCCCGTCCATCCACCGGGGACGCCATAACATCCGGAACCGGGGCAACAAACACCTGCAAACCGGGGACCCAGATAGTAGTACTCATGAGGCGAGAAGTCACCACTCGCCCCCACAGGAAGGTAACTTGCCCCCCCATGAAAGCACTCCGGTCTGTCAGACAGTAGTAACGTAGCAATCTTAGACCAGTGACCCGGCGGCATCACAGACGCCGGCAACACGTCTCCCAGAGCCCCAACGCGCACCCGCACCACAGGGGTACCCGCGGCCTCGGGCACACCACCAGACGACAGCAGGGAACCCAGACGGTGCGCATCCTTCCGTAACGTCACCACCAGGCCACGCCCAGCACCAGAGTCCACACCATCCCCGGCAGCAGAAGCCACCACCCCCCACTGTGGAGAGTCCTCCGGCGAAGAAAGATCCGAAGGCACTTCCGAGACAAAGGCACCAGCACCAGCAGGCACATGGACCTCCGCCACCACGAACCGCGGAGACATCGATGCATCCGAATCCACACTGTCAATACCCGAAGACCCGCAGTCACTGAAGTCACAAACGTCGGCCAAGGCAGAAGACGAACGCCGGGAACGTTTGGGCACCGGCCAGATATCGTCAGAGCCGATAAGCGACCCAGAAACACGGGTACCACGAGCCGGAGGAACCGACGCCCGACACAGAACGGCAGCAGCCTCTACTACAGGGGGAACCGGGCCACACACATAATTATTGTACAATATTCAATCTGATCCTAACTATATATCTATATATGTTTTAGGAACCTATAGCCGCTTAAATTTGATAATTGAACACATCATCCCACACAGCAATAATCACCAGACCTGAAGAAAGAAATATTATGATATCCTTGACACATTATAAATTTAGATGACCAGTATGCCTTTCTCATAATTATAATTCTCTACTTTACAGAGCTACAGCTGTGACTGACTACTACGATGACTATGTAACTGGAATAAGTTACGACTTCATTCCTTAAATTTGCACAAATTCAAGGAAAGATTCCAAGATTAGTACACATCAGCTAATTATTAAGAATTTGTGAATAGAGCTGCTCTAAATATCACAAATACAGAGGAAAGATAAGTAAGATATATAAATTATTAAGGACATAGGCCACAATTAGTCAAATCAGTTGAGAATGTATTTGATAATTTGTCTAGTATGCAGTGAGGGCAATTCCCAAGAAGATAAAATGCTGCAAGTTTTATACCTTTAAATTATATCTGAGCCCATAAATGGTAAAATGCAACTTACAGGAGATCCCATGAAACCCGAATTAAGGAAAAAAATCCATAACTTATAATTTTTACTTAAATTCAATAGGGAAGGATTCTATGACAACCAACTGAAGAAAAACCTCCGAAGAATTCTTAATTAACCATCGATCAAATAAAGTGAAAATTTGCAATTTCACTGATTTCTTTCCATCTTCATTTACATTGAACTTCCGGGCCACAAATACATTTAGAAAACCGTCCTGGAAAGTATTGTTGGCCGGTCAGATTTACTTAAAAATAAAAAAATCAACATTTAAAAATATCGCATCAACTACTATTTAAAAATAATTAATTATGAACGGGCGACAAATATATTATTTAAATAAGAAATTAGAAGTAATACAAAAATACATATTAATGACAAACATTTACTACACACAACTGTTATTCTCATGCGAATGTTATCATGAACAATCACACGAACAATGAACATTGTTAAGTGTTATTTAAGACAACTGCAGATAAGTCAGGTCGTACTTGTGTTACTAGTTCACAACACCTCCAGAGCAATTTAGTCAGCTGAAGCCAACTTATGTGTGACATTTTATTCACTAATCTTGGATAAATATCTAAATAAATTTGATCAGAATTGATTAATTTTCTTTCCACTTGTTCAGCAATGATTGTATGAATGTGTGCGCCCTAATATAGTAACATCCTCAACATTGTTGTAACTGTGTAGAATATCGGACATATATGGACGTAATGGACAATTAGATTGTAGAATTTGGTAATGCTCACTTAATCACTTAAAAGGGTAAAAATAACAATAAATAAAAAATAAAGCTAAAAACCAAACTTAAATATTTCTTGGCCTATTATAGCACATAAATGTACTATATTAGGCCTCAGATAGCGTGAATAAAGCCTAGAAAGGCTAGATTAAGTTCGGTTAAGTTTTCTTTGCAACATTAGTAAAATCCTTTTCCGGTTTGTCCAGCCTCAATAGTACCGATTTCTATGGAGACGATGAGTCACAATAACGTGGCTGAAGATATGAAGACCAAACACCACACCAGAAGAGTAAGAGACGACGACGTCTCGGTCCATCTTGGACCATTATCAAGTTGATTTAATCGACAAACGACTTGATAATGGTCCTGTGCGGACCTAAACGTCGTCGCCATCTCATCTTTTGGTGTTCGGTTTAGTCTTCATACCGATTTCTACTTTCTAATTGTCTTGTACGTCAATATATGTACTCTTGTACGTCAATATATGTACTCTTGTACGTCAATATATGTACTCTTGTACGTCAATATATGTACTCTTGTACGTCAATATATGTACTCTTGTACGTCAATATATGTACTCTTGTACGTCAATATATGTACTCTTGTACGTCAATATATGTACTCTTGTACCTCAATATATGTACTCTTGTAGCTCAATAAATGTACTCTTGTACGTCAATATATGTACTCTTGTACGTCAATATATGTACTCTTGTACGTCAATATATGTACAATGGTCCTCATCGTTACTACAAGTTCTAACTAAACAGGAGGACGGGCTGCTTAATGTAGTAGCATCCGAAACAATAACCATGTAAATTAATGTATTAGGATTCTCAACATTAACCATATAAATTAATGTATTAGGATTCTCAACATTAACCATATAAATTAATGTATTAGGATCCTCAATACTAAACATAAAACTTAATGTATGAACATTGATACATGAAATGGTACGGTGGGAATACCCAGCAGGTTGGAGGCTTCTCAGTAACGTAAAGTCCAACCAGTTGGGCTGGACGGTAGAGTGACGGTCTCGCTTCGTGCAGGTCGGCGTTCAATCCCCGACTATCCAAGTAGTTGGGCACCATTCCTTCCCCCCCCCCTCCCCCGTCCCATCCTAAATCCTTATCCTGATCCTCCTTCCCAGTGCTGTATAGTCGTATTGGCTTGGCGCTTTCCCTTGATAATTCTCTCTCTCTCTCAGTATTGTACAGTGAATATAATTTTTTTTTTCTACTTTTGAAGTATAAATATGATGGGCCAGAATTAATGTATTGAGGAAAACACTAAAAAAAATCTAATAAAATTTAATCAAAATACAAAAATAATCTTTTAATGACTTGCAACTTGGCAACCCTGTAGAGCACCTGGTGTTGATGTAGAGCACTGGAGGAAACAAAATAAAAAACAAAAAGACATGAATAGAAAATTAACTCTTAAAGACTCTGAACAATTTATATACAAATAATGTTACGATATTTATATATACCACAACCTGTGAATGATCTGCCGGAGATCACCTCTAGCTCATGGACAGCTAGAGGTGTTGACCCTGTAGAGCACCTGGAGGAGGTGTTGACCCTGTAGAGTACCTGGAGGAGGTGTTGACCCTGTAGAGCACCTGGAGGAGGTGTTGACCCTGTAGAGCAGCTGGAGGAGGTGTTGACCCTGTAGAGCAGCTGGAGGAGGTGTTGACCCTGTAGAGCACCTGGAGGAGGTGTTGACCCTGTAGAGCACCTGGAGGAGGTGTTGACCCTGTAGAGCACCTGGAGGAGGTGTTGACCCTGTAGAGTACCTGGAGGAGGTGTTGACCCTGTAGAGCACCTGGAGGAGGTGTTGACCCTGTAGAGTACCTGGAGGAGGTGTTGACCCTGTAGAGCACCTGGAGGAGGTGTTGACCCTGTAGAGCACCTGGAGGAGGTGTTGACCCTGTAGAGCACCTGGAGGAGGTGTTGACCCTGTAGAGCAGTTGGAGGAGGTGTTGACCCTGTAGAGCACCTGGAGGAGGTGTTGACCCTGTAGAGCACCTGGAGGAGGTGTTGACCCTGTAGAGTACCTGGAGGAGGTGTTGACCCTGTAGAGCACCTGGAGGAGGTGTTGACCCTGTAGAGTACCTGGAGGAGGTGTTGACCCTGTAGAGCACCTGGAGGAGGTGTTGACCCTGTAGAGCAGTTGGAGGAGGTGTTGACCCTGTAGAGCACCTGGAGGAGGTGTTGACCCTGTAGAGCACCTGGAGGAGGTGTTGACCCTGTAGAGCAGCTGGAGGAGGTGTTGACCCTGTAGAGCAGCTGGAGGAGGTGTTGACCCTGTAGAGCACCTGGAGGTGTTGACCATGTAGAGCACCTGGAGGAGGTGTTGACCCTGTAGAGCACCTGAAGGTGTTCATCCTGTAGAGCACCTGGAGGAAATATTGACCCTGTAGAGCACCTGGAGGTGTTCATCCTGTAGAGCACCTGGAGGTGTTCATCCTGTAGAGCACCTGGAGGTGTTCACCCTGTAGAGCCCCTGGAGGTGTTCATCCTGTAGAGCACCTGGAGGAGGTGTTCATTCTGTAGAGCACCTGGAGGAGGTGTTGACCCTGTAGAGCACCTGGAGGAAGTGTTGACCCTGTAGAGCACCTGGAGGAGGTGTTGACCCTGTAGAGCACCTGGAGGAGGTGTTTACCCTGTAGAGCACCTGGAGGTGTTCATCCTGTAGAGCACCTGGAGGAGGTGTTCATCCTGTAGAGCACCTGGAGGAGGTGTTCATCCTGTAGAGCACCTGGAGGAGGTGTTCATCCTGTAGAGCACCTGAGGTGTTCATCCTTAGAGCACCTGGCGGAGGTGTTCACCCTGTAGAGCACCTGGAGGTGTTCACCCTATAGGGCACCTGGAGGAGGTGTTCACCCTGTAGAGCACCTGGAGGTGCTCACCCTGTACAACACCTGGAGGAGGTGGTGACCTTGTAGAGCACCTGGAGGTGTTCACCCTGTAGAGCACCTGGAGGAGGTGTTGACCCTGTAGAGCACCTGGAGGAGGTGTTGACCCTGTAGAGCACCTGGAGGAGGTGTTGACCTTGTAGAGCACCTAGAGGTGTTCACCCTATAGAGCACCTGGAGGAGGTGTTGACCCTGTAGAGCACCTGGAGGAGGTGTTGACCCTGTAGAGTACCTGGAGGTGTTCATCCTGTAGAACACCTGGAGGAGGTGATGACCTTGTAGAGCACCTAGAGGTGTTCACCCTGTAGAGCACCTGGAGGAGGTGGTGACCCTGTAGAGGACCTGGAGGTGTTCCCCTGTAGAGCACCTGGAGGTGTTCCCCTGTAGAGCACCTGGAGGTGTTCCCCTGTAGAGCACCTGGAGATGTTCACCCCTGTAGAGCACCTGGAGGTGTTCACCCTATAGAGCACCTGGAGGTGTTCACCCTGTAGAGCACCTGGAGGATGCGTTCACCCTGTAGAGCACCTGGAGATGTTCACCCTGTAGAGCACCTGGAGGAGGTGTTCACCCTGTAGAGCACCTGGAGGTGTTCACCCTGTTGAGCACCTGAAGGTGTTCACCCTGTAGAGCACCTGGAGGATGCGTTCACCCTGTAGAGCACCTGGAGGAGGTGTTCACCCTGTAGAGCACCTGGAGATGTTCACCCTGTAGAGCACCTGGAGGAGGTGTTCACCCTGTAGAGCACCTGGAGGTGTTCACCCTGTTGAGCACCTGAAGGTGTTCACCCTGTTGAGCACCTGGAGGTGTTCACCCTGTAGAGCACCTGGAGGTGTTCACCCTGTAGAGCACATGGAGGTGTTCACCCTGTAGAGCACCTGGAGGTGTTCACCCTGTTGAGCACCTGGAGGTGTTCACCCTGTAGAGCACCTGGAGGATGCGTTCACCCTGTAGAGCACCTGGAGGAGGTGTTCACCCTGTAGAGCACCTGGAGGTGTTCACCCTGTAGAGCACCTGGAGGTGTTCACCCTGTAGAGCACCTGGAGGAGGTGTTGACCCTGTAGAGCACCTGGAGGAGGTGTTGACCCTGTAGAGCACCTGGAGGAGGTGTTGACCCTGTAGAGCACCTGGAGGAGGTGTTGACCCTGTAGAGCACCTGGAGGAGCTGTTCACCCTGTAGAGCACCTGGAGGAGGTGTTCACCCTGTAGAGCACCTGAAGGAGGTTTGTCATGGGTTGTGTAAAAGAATTTTGTCATAGTTGTGTCTCAGAGTCCTGTCAAGAATTCGGGGGAAGTGGACCTTTAAATTTTGTCTTGGGGAATTGATAATTTTACTTGAGCCTAGAGGAAATGAAGGAGAAAGGAAAATAGCCTAGTTCAAAGACACAAATTTATATGCATAAAACACACGATAATATGTATTCAACAATGTGAATTCCTTACAACTCAAGGTCATGCTGTAGTAAGATAACCCCCATGTAGGCTCTGGCTACCCTATGGCTCACAATCCCAAACCTGGAGCCTTGCACACAGCCACCACACCTACCAACCGATGACACACATGGGTGAAACATCTAGGAAACCTGGAGTCTCTCTTATAAAATATCACCATGACTGCATTACTACTCTACCCTATCTTGCAACCCTGATAACAAATAATGATGGCTTACCTGACTGTACAGCCGTAGAAAAACCCTCAGATAGCAGAGTCTGGTCGTGAACGAATCTGCCTCCCCTTACGTCAAGAAGGCGTCCACCTCTCTTGCGTCATCGCCCCTTAATATTCTATTCTTGACATTTGCAATCAACGCCTTTATTGATTTTATTTACCATATTCCCTCTGCATGCTTTTTGATTGAGTACATTTTTCCCTTATATCATTAATTTATTCCAGTTCACATTATTCCTAAAAATGTCCAGCTGAGAAGGCACTAC